GCTTCTTCTTCTTCTTCTTCTTCTTCTTCTTCTTCTTCTTCTTCTTCTTCTTCTTCTTCTTCTTCTTCTTCTTCTTCTTCTTCTTCTTCTTCGACTTATTATCACAGGCGAGACACTACAGATATCATAGTAACAGTTGTTCTTCGTTTATTTCATCCTCAAACAAGGACATACTTTTGATGAGCGATCACTATGGTGTCCACTTGAGCAAAATGACCTCTTTAAAAAAATTAACACACAATGGTGAACAAACAAGGTGAGCTAAGGTTTATAGTATTAATTGATCTTGTAGCGGACTATTTGTTGCGTCATCACAATTTTATATAATTTAAGAGGCAGGCTGCTTCGACCCTGCCAATCAGGGCATACCTGGGATGAAAGAGAACAACTTTCCAGCGACAGACGAGACACTCGATAAAAAAAACACTTCCCTACACGGAAATTGAGTTCACAGCTTCTGCGTACCAGGGAAAAGGGCCTAACCTCTACACTAGACACCAGTACAAACATTGGTCGTCAATGTTAGAAAATGTTTTTAATCATTACATTCATTTCTTGTTATTTCAGGCATGTCATTATAAAAATGAAATCTTCACAAGAAGGATGAATAAACCTATCTTAAACCATATCATAATCCTGCACAACACACCACTTTAGGAAAAGAAAAGGCAGTACCATCTGCCGTGAGTTGTGGCGTTTCTAATCATTATAAGTTGCTACCTAGTAGCAAGCAAGGTATACGACTTCTCTACTTCATTGGATGTTAAAGGTCATTATCAGTTCCTGATGAACGAACGATTGTTATAATTCTTTTGTGTGTGTTAACCCGTTTCCCAGGTTGACCGTGTGATCCCTGTCGCTGGCCGTGAGCAGCTGTCAGATTTCAGCTACCAGTTCGGAGAGAGGAGCAAGAAGAATCTGGCTGACGGTCACCTCTGGTTCTCTGTGGTAGCCAGACCTCCCCAGTCTCGTTTCACATGCCTGCAGGTACGTCTGATATAAAATAAAGAGAACACGGACAGTATAGGTGTTGTTTCATGTCTTGTTGTGTGGTGTGGTCTGCATCTTTGTTTTCTTTTTAGCATTGCAAATATAATGAGCCAAGAAGGTGGGGAGTTTTGGAAACTTCCCAAAACAACTGTCAGATCGATCCCACTTCACGTATAAAATTGCAGTGGATTCAGCACACCGAGAACAGGACTGAACAATCACTGAAGATTGCAACATACATGTAGATAGTATACTAGTGATAGAACATTATGTGAGTATGTGCATATGTGTGTAAGTGTGTGTGTGTGTGTGTGTGTGTGTGTGTGTGTGTGTGTTGGTAAAGTGCACCGATGTTGCAACCCCCAAACAAAGCAGAACGTTGATTATCCCTATTCATGACAAACTATTCTCACAAAGCCAACGATGTATGCCCACAGAGAGTGAGCTGT